GCCCAGAATCTGCCCTTGGTGCCCTTGCTAATGGCAACTCCCCAGTCGGGATAGAATGGCAGTTCTCATTCCTTGTAGCAGTCTCTCTCTGAATTGTAGAAGGTTGCCAAGGATCACCACAGCTATTACGTAGTCAGTCGGTAGTGAGAGGCTTCATCTAGTCCTGTGCCTGACAGGCACCAACCTGGTAACCAGACTGCAGACATTGAATCCTGATTTGCCTCTTCCTGTTTTCCTAAGAAAACAGTGATGCAGAGGTCTTGGCTCAGAATTAGTCAGTAGCTTAAAAGTCCAAGCCAGAAGACTTGTTATTTCTGGAACATGCCTAACCGTAGCATGTGAATAATTGGAAGTACAAGGAATGACTCATTGGTTCAAAGCCCTCGGCAACATCAAATCCTATCTGTTTCATGGCCATGGTGTGTTTTTGCACACTTCGCAGTTTGGCACAGAAGTGGGGTGTTTGAAAACCAGGGACCGGGGATTATTTCACACCATCCAGTGGTCACCCTGGCTGCTCACAGTGAGAACTTTCAAAGCAAAAACAGCAGGACTGAGCGAGCTGGTTAGAAATGCAGACTCCACTTGCTGAATCAGTCTGCACTTGAGCAGCTCCCGAGGTAATGCATGCACACTCAAGCTTGAGAAACACAGGGCTGTGTTTCCGCACCCTTTGAGGGGTGGAGCAACGCCTTCATGTCAATGGAGCCTTCGGGTGACTCTCCGATGCAACCGAGAAGATGGAGGTGGGACTGGAAAAGATGGGCAGAGTACCTGGGCAGATGTATTGATCATAAAGACTCTTAAAGAGTATGAGCCCCTAATAAAATGATTAAAAAGAAAAAGACTCTTAAAGATCAGCAATGAAACATCCTCCCAGCTCTACTCTCCCCCCTCTGGGATAGCCACCACTCTTAGGGACCAGCCTAGTCTGGATACATTTGTAAATCTATGTGGAAAACCTGATTTAAGAGTTGATTTACTGATTTATCTGTGGTAGTCTGGTTCCAGGTAATCCTGTATCCAGCCAAGGGAGTCAGGAGACCCCAAAAGACTTAGGTCCCCTGTCCAGTAAGGAAAAAGAAAACAGAGATGCTTGGACTTGAAGTCTCTCGCTGTAGCACAGAAATCAGGTCCTCGGGAAACGTTTGACTTCGATGCACCGTGAGTATTTGCACCTCCCTGACTTCTGGTGTGTTTGCCATCACAGCACGTGAAGGACATCATTCTGCAGTCCAACCCACTGCTGGAGGCCTTCGGGAATGCCAAGACCGTCCGGAACAACAACTCCAGTCGATTCGTGAGTTTCTCTCAGCGTCATTTTGGGTAGAGTTATCAACTTGAGTTGCCCGATGTCTTCGTTTCCCAGGGCTGCTGTAACAAAATGCCAGAGTGTGTAGCTTTTAAAGAAGAGAAATGTCTTTTCTTCCCATTCAAGAAGGTAGAAACCCAAATCAGAACCAGGCTGATTACTTCTGTGTGCACGGAGAAACTATTCCGTGGCCCTCTTCCACCTTCTAGTGCAGTGGTTCTCAGCCTGGGGTCACGACCCCTTTGGGGGTCCAAGGACCTTCTCACAGGGCTCACCTAAGACCATAGGAAAGGACATAAGTATTTCACAATATATAATTACATAATGTTTTGTGATTAATTATGTTTAATGATCTTCCCTTTGTAACAATGACAATTCATCCTGCATATCAGATATTTACAGGGCAATTCATAACAGTAGCAAAATGACAGTGATGAAGTAGCAACAAAAATAATGTTATGGTTGGGGGGGTCACCACCACATGAGGAACTGTCTGAAAGGGTCGCGGCACTGGGAAGGTTGAGAACCACGGTTCTAGTGGCTCCCACCAATCCTTAGTCTTCCTTGGCGTCACATGACGCCATTCCCTTGTGTCTTGCGCAATGGGCTTTATCTCCAAACAGGGTCGCATCCCTTTGGGCTCAGACTTCAGCACAAGTTTTGTGGAGAAACAATTCAGTCCATAACACCATCCTGAAGAGATTTTCACTTAGTCTTGGTCCTAGAGGACTTTGTTTTGCAGCCTGGAGAAAAGTCGCAGACAAGCGTGTAGGAGCAACGGTGGTTTCGTTGCCTGAAACAACCAGGTCTGCACACTGACAGGATCGAACACCGGGGGTCTTGGCCTAGGCCAGTCCCTCAGAGGAGCCCTTCCTCCGCGTGATCATCAGCGTAATCCAACTGCCCGAGCTGTCTAAAACGCACTCCCTCTATTACCCAGCATAGCTTCGTGCATGTGTTTAATATACCCCCCATGATGACACCCACAAGCGAGTGCCAGTTCTCTGGCCCACTTACCCAAGCTAATGAAAATGCCAACACAATGCGCTCTTGTGAATGCCCATTAAAAGATTTTTATGTCGGGGTATCTCCTGAGAGGGTAAATTGTAAGTCTGGCAAGGATGAAGATGAATATATTTCCCTTGGGGCAAACAAAAGTCACTTACAAAGAAACTAATGTTTACCAAGGCGCTTTGATTTGTGTAGATTTTGCATCTTATCTCCATGAGAAGTTATGCCTGGAGCTTAAGCATTCAATGAGCCGTCTGTGAGGCAGATTCTGAACTATTCGAATACACATAAAGGAGAATGGGGAAGAGAAACAGTCAGAGGAATATTTATTTATAAAGAAAGCTTCTGTTTCTATAGCTGTCCTACTCACTTCTCAGCAGTAACTATCAAGTTCCCTAAGTGAGTTAGGTCTCTCTGACTGGTTCTCCCTTTTCCGGTTGCCCAATAATATTCAAATTAATTACTCATGTCTTCATGCCTCTTTTTTTTTCCGGTTGTCTAATGCCTATATTGGGTTATTGTAAAGGAGTTTCTAGAGAATGAAACAGGACGCAGATGTGAATTAATTTTCCATTTGACCTTTTAACTTTCCATCCAAATCTGCCTCGTAGACATGCTAAGACTTGGTCAAATGTGTCTCGCTGCCCATCCCGATTTTATTGCCTTTTTTTAAAGATCAGGGAGAACAAATAATAATTCAGTCAGCATTTTCCTTGATTTTCCCATTATAAACTGTTATTTTTCCTCATTAGTTTTTAAAGCCTACATTTATTTACTTATTTCAACATTTTATTACAATATTTATGCCAGTTTTATTATAAAATTTATACCAATCCTATTGGAAAAGTAAGGAGCTCTTGGTAGCAAAATGGTTTAGCATCAGCTGCTGAACAGAAATGTGGAGTTTTAACCCACCAGCAACTCGGCAGGAACAAGACCTGGTGATCTGCTCGCAGAGAGAGTCAAACCCAAAGCCCCTGTCACGGAGTGAATTCTGACTCGGAGGGACCCGGTGTGAGTTTCCAAGACTGTAAATCTTTACAGGAGCAGATAGCCTCGTCTTTCTCCCAACAAGAGACTGGTGGGTTTGAACTGCCAACCTTGCAGTTCGCCATCCAATGCCATGAAACAGGTTGGCCCTATCACATAAAGCCCATATGAGTTGGAATTAAGTCTCCTGCAGGCAACAAGAACCACCAGTGGAAAAATGGAGAAAAGTATGACTGTCCAGTGTGTACATGTGCTTACACACACACACACACACACACACACACACACACAGAATAATGATCGATGGAATTCCAAGACTATATCATGTTCTCGCTCTTCAGATGGGCCAGCATTAAGGAGACTGATAATCCCTGGGGGGAAAGACGTGATTGGTGGAAGACTGACACATTCTTCCAGGAAAGCCATCTGGCAATTTTTATCCAGATGAAAGGGGCTCATCGTAAAAAAAAATTTTTAAAAAGAGGTTCATCGTCTTTAATCCAAGAAGACTATTGTCAGGACAAATTATGTCCATTTCCTGTTAATAATGATATAAAGAAGTTGCCCAACATGTATTGTTAAATCAAGGCTGCAGAACACTCTCTGTATCATGGCCCCATCTTTGTTTTAAAACGGGCACGTTACATAAAACGTAATTACAGTGTTTATAAATCAAAGCTTGAAATGCCGTTCCACCGATTACTTAGGAGGAGGAGGTGGAAGTAGATCGGGGTTCAGCTCTGGGTGGCTTCTCCCTTCAAACTGAGCCCAAGGCACTGACTTCTTGCTTTCTTTACTTCTTGTTTATTTTGTTGTTGAGAGTGTACACAGCAAAACACACACCAACTCAGCAGTCTGCACATGTACAAT